CTCATCTTTCTCCCGCGGAGCAGCTGGTAGTTTCGAACCGCTGACCTTAAGGTTCACAGCCCGATTCATAACCACTACGCTACCAGAGCTCCTTACTGGATGGCATACTATCTGAAAATATGAATGATAATAATACTTCTTATATCACAGAACTGATTTAAATAATAAACAAGATAATGTATATACTATGTAGAGCTTGGAGTCCTTGTGTAGCGCTCTAGGATAATCCACTAGACCACAACGTCAGTGGTTCAAACTTACCAACTGCTCCTTGGAAACCCTATGAGTCACTAAAAGTCAGAACAGACTCGATTCATGTCTTAGAATTTTAATAGAACGTATTTAGTACTTAACAACAACAACAAAGGCTCCCTTCTGTTTTATCCTGATGATGGAGTTAAACGTGTGTACGTATATGTTGCTATGTGCCACTGAGTTGGTTTGAACCCATAGTGACCTTATATAAGGTTTTCAAGGAGTGGCTGATGGGTTTGAACCACTGACCTCTTGGTAAGCAGTCCAGGCTTATCCTGTAGAACCATACCAGGGCTCCATGTAAATGTATAGGTGAATGTATAGGTATATCTATAGTCATATGTATATACATGTATGTGTATACATGCATGTATACTCATATATATTATAAAGAACTTAGAGGGGACACAGCTAGGACTACTTCTTAGATATAACTGTATACCTTGTGGAAGTTGTTTACTGGGTTTGAAGACTTAAGACCACAGTCTCATGCAACAACTTGGTAATTTGCCATAATATAGTTCATAAAATCTATGTTCTATATTGTAGTTTGGTGAGTAGTGCCTGTGGTCTTAAAAGCTTGTGAATGACCACTTAAGATATAGCTATTCGTCTCTACTCTTCTAAAGCAAGCAAGAAAGACGGGAACCAAATACTCAGAGAAGAAAGTAGTCTATAGGACTAGTAGTCTACATGAACCGTGACCTCATCTACCCTGAGATCAGAGGAACTAGATGGTGCCCAGCCACACACCACCACCTCCTGTTCTGATCAGAGCCACAATAGATGGCTTTTGACCAAATGGGAGAAAAATGTAGAACAAAACTTAAGTTCTTAAAAGTGCAGACTTACTGAACTAGTTGAGACTAGGGAAACTCCCAAGACTGTCTCCCTGAGAAATCTTTTATACTTTGAACCTAAACTCCCAGAGGCCACCTTTCAGCCAAGTAACAGATTTGCTCTTATAATAAAGAATGTCACCTGTGAGTACTGTGTTTCTTTAAAAGAAGTTATCTATATGGGACCAAAAGGAGCTCAGGTAGCATAGTGGTTATGAGTCAGGCTGCTAACCTCAAGGTCAGCAGTTCAAAAATACCAGCCGTTCCATGAGAGAAAGATGAGGCTTTCTGCTCTGGTAAAGATTTCCAGCCTCAGAAACCCTATACAGGGTGTCGGAAGTGACTCCACAGCAAACTACCACCACTACCACATGGGAACAAAGGGTCAAAATTTACTCTAAAGCAAAGATGGGAAGGAAAGGCAGTTGCGTTAATTAGAGCACTGAAAATGGAACTTGAACAGAAATAGAGAGAATGTTGACACATTGTGAAAAGTGTAACCAATATCATCCAACAATTTGTATAGAAAGTGTTTAACAGGAAATTCATTTACTGTGTAAATTTTAACCAAAAACACACACACAAATATTTTTTCAAAAGAGAGGGAGAAAAGGAGTGGCTTACGTGTTTCCTGAAAGTTGAATCGACAACCTTATCCATGAAGTAAGTGCATAAATTGTACGTCAGGTTTTCCGAAATTTCAATTCTAGTATTGTGTGCTTAGGAGCCATAATTTCTGAAGGATTAATCAGGTGTTCCAATTTATTCTTTCTGGTCTTCCTTCATTTCCTCATAAACTAGGTCCCAAACATACCTCAAGATGCTGTGGAGAAATTGCTGTCATTTACACACAAACTCAGAGAGACACAGGATCCAACGGTGAGTCTGGGTTTTTCTCCATAGTGCGTTCTGTTGTTCTATTACTTTAAAATCTGTTGTGTTTTTTAAGATGGTATTTTTCCCCTTATCCCATGCTTCATCCTATGTATATGTTTTAATCTTTTAGCGATTTTACCATTTTTTCCATCTCCACATGGCTGATGTCATAGAAATGTTGTGCTCTGGAGTACCTGGTGTTTTGCTGTGTTCCTTCTGTCTCCTATACTGAGCACTCTATTGTATTCTTATAGGTTCAAGTACTATCTTTAAGTTGGCATCTCCTCTGACATCCATTTTAGTCTTTTCTCTCTTTCCTGTCTTTCATCAAGTATGATGATCTTGATATCATCGCATGGTTCTTCTGGTTTTCGGCCATTTAGTGTTCAAAGTGCCTACCTGTGGGCCAGGACTTACTCGTTGGCACCTAGCCACAAAAGCTAATATTTGAGCTCCTTGAGACTGGGTGTTCATGGTTTTATGGCTACTTCCTAGCTTACTGTCTTGCATGTAGTAGACACAAATTATTTAATAAGTAAATAATTAAATTCAAGAATTTATTAACTTATTGACAGGTTATCCCTAAAGTTTTCTCTCCCTGGAACATGTTACATTGCCATGACAGAAATAATTCATCCAGAGGTAAAAAAGAGACAAACATTTGAAAAAATATCTGTTCTGTATTTTCATTTCTTTAAGATGAGGTATTATAAAGTATGCTAAAATAGCAAACACTTTGAGGTATACTCTTGGTAAACCATTGTAACTAGGGGAATGGACTGGCACACCCTCATCTTTTTTGCAACATAAAATTGCAGTTAGAAATTTGATATTGTAAATGTTAAATACATTGTTGTTGTTGTTAGGTGCCATCGAGATGGTACTGACCCATAATGACCCTATGCACAACAGAATGAAACTCTTCGATTGTTCTTATGGTAATTCATGGCATCTACAGTGTTCTTCACCAACACCATGATTCAAAGGATCAATTCTTCTTCAGTCTTCCTTATTCATTGTCCAGCTTTCCAATGCACATGAGGTGATGAAAATACCATAGCTTTGCTCAGGTGTACCCTAGTCCTCAAAGTGAAATCTTTTCTGTTTCATACTTAAAAGAGGTCTTATACAGCAGATTTGCTCAATTCATTGTCATTCGATCTCGTGACTGCTGTTTGTTTCCAGGGACCTTGATCACAGGTCCAAGTAAAATTCTTGATAACCTCAGTCTTTTCCCCATTTATCATGATGTTGCTTACTGGTCCAGCTGTGAAGATTTTTGTTTTCTTTATGTTGAAGTGTAATTCTTAGTGAAGTCTGTGTTCTGTGACCTTCATCAGGAAATGCTGGAAGTGCTCTTCACTTTGAGTAAGTAAGTCTGAGGCATCTGCATAGCACAGGCTGTTCATGAGTCTTCCTCCAGTCCTCATGCCACATTCTTCTTCATGTACTCCAGCTTCTTGGATAAGTTGCTTCACATTAGTTGAACAAGTATGGTGGAAGTTTCCTGATTTTATTCCAAATAGTATTCCCTTGTTTAGTTTGCACAACTGCCTCTTGGTCTATGTACAAGTTCGCATAAGCACAATTAAGTATTCAGAAATATACCCATCCTTGCAATGCTATCCATAATTTACTATTATCTACAGCATAGTGGTTATGAATCGGGCTGTGAACCTTAAGGTCAGCAGTTTGAAACTACCAGCCACTCCATGGGAGAAAGATGAGGCTTTCTGCTCCTGTAAAGATTTATAGCCTCGGAAACCCTGTACAGGGTTGGTATGGGTCGGAACCGATTTGGTGGCACTTAACAACAACAACAACAACAACAACAACACAGTTAAAAGAGTCCTGGTGTGGCACTGTGGGTTAATATGCTGGTTGGTTTGAAGTGCAGCGTTGGTGGTTCAAGCTCACTAGCTGCTCCTTAGAAACTCTATACCGGGAGGTCCCTAGGCATCATAACCATCTCAATGGCACTTAACAGCAACAACAAACATAGTTAAATGTATTTGTCTAGTCAGGGGAACAAAGGTAAACATTTTTGTGGTGTTATCTCTGTACTTAATATTTCAGTCAAGACCCATCTGACATCAGCGATGGTGTTCCTTGTTCCACATCTTCTAAATTCACCATGAGTTTCTGATAGTTCCCTGTGAATGTACTGCTGCAACTGTTTATAAATTATCTTCAGAAAAATTTTATTTGTGTGAGCTAATGATATCAAATACATTGATAATATTTAATTTTATGTATAGTCTCAATTTCTAATTGATTGAATGTAAAAACAGAGATGACCAAACCCTTTATTCAATGCTTAATGCAATATAAGGCTTAGTTCTGACTTTTAACACTAGACATTTTGCAAAGCATGTTGATGCTATTAACTGAAAGAGTTGCTGTTCAGATTCATGAGAGTCCTAAATGATCACTGGAACCAAGTGTGACGCCTGAATTCAGTATTGTGCCTGGATTGCAGTTAGAATATTTTATCACAGCAAGATTATCTTTGGGTTTAATAGGATTCTTGTTATGAGAATCCTTTGGTTGAAGGCAGTTTTAAACATTTTCTATGGTTAAGATAGGAATCTTTCATGGTTGCAGGTTTTAAATGTAGAAGTTTCTGAGTCATATTTAAGTTTTGATACTTCCAAACAAAAGTCTCTGTCATCATGGAACTAACAGTTAAGTGAGAGAAGATAAGCAATCAAAATAAATGAGCAAAGTGTATATTCTATGAAAGGGCAGTAGTCGAGGCAGAACTTTAAGCTGAAAGAGGGTTAGCAATGAAATGGTAAGGAAAAGTAATTCTAAATAACGTGGTTCAGGTTCAGTTTTCCCTTCTTTATCGTGCCCTCCCAGTTGCCAAGTCCTTTAAACTTAACATTTGATGCAGCCTTTCTCTCCACTTTTGTTACCATAACTTAGTGTAGGGCTTTTACCTTTTTATTGTTGTAGTTGTTGTTGTTAGGTGCCATCCAGTCAGCACCGACTCATAGCGACCCTATGCATAGCAGAACGAAACACTGCCCAATCCTGGGCCAACCTCACAATTGTTGCCACGCTTGAGCCCATTGATGCTGCCACTTTGCCAATCCATCTCGATGGGAATCTTCCTCTTTTTTTCTGACCCTCCACCTTACCAAACATGATATCCTCTTCCAGAGATTGGTCCCTCCTGACAGAATGTCCAAAGTATGAGAGACGAAGTGTGGCCATCTTGGCCTCCAAGGAACACTCTGGCTACACTTCTTCCAACACAGATCTTTTGGTTCTATGGGCAGCCAATGGCACTTTAAACATTCTCCTCCAACACCATAACTCAAAAGCATCAATTCTACAGTCTTCCTTATTTACTTTCCAACTTCCACATGTATATGAAGTTATTGAAAATACAATGGCTTGGGTCAGGTGCACCTTAGTCCTCAAGCTGACATTTTTGTTCTTCAACACTTTAAAAAAGTCTTGTGCAGCAGATTTGCCTAATGCAATACGTTGTTTGATTTCTTGACTGCTGCTACCATGAGTGTTGATAGTTGATCTAAGAAGAATGAAATTTAGGAGGCTAGAATCCAGGGTGCTGACTCTAGGGGAAATCTTTCTTTCTATGTCTGCTCTAGAGGAAGGGCCTTGTCTCTTACGAGATCCTCGTCCTTTGGTGATCTTATGTGGCTTGGCATCTCTTTTCCCCGTGGCTGTTTGCTTTATCTACTTCTTTTATGTCTTGTAAGAGATTGACTCAAAACACAGCCTATATTAATCAGTCCTCATTAATTTAACAAACACAACCTGTTCTCTACTGGGATTATAATCACAGGCATAGAAGATTAATAACATGTATATTTGAGAACACAATTTAACCTATAACACCTCTCTAGACTGTTAGGTGACCAGGCTTCTTGGGTGCCCTCTTTGCTCTATGACATCACCCTGACTCCACTGTCCCCCTAAAGGACCAGTTACTTCAAAAGTGCTTCTCTCCTTTGGTTGTCAGTGACAACTGTCATCTTTTCAGGTTGCTGCTTCAAGTTAGGAGTTAGAGCATAGTTGTCTGATTCATTGAATTCATGCTGATATGGTGGGCACATCCCCTTCCTTTGTTATATTTTTATTTTGAAGAAGCTGTTTTATTAACAATCACTGATATTTACTGAGAGCCCATATGCATCTGACCTGTGCTTTTTGTTTTAGAATCATTTTCTAATTTAATCTCTCCTAAATACTTTATAAATGAGGGCATTCTTATCTCCACTTTCTGTGTGTGTGTGAAGTGCCATCAAGTCAGTTCCAGCTCACAGTGACCGTGTACAGTTTCCAAAGAGCAGCCCATCTTGTAGTTAGCAGACCAGTGTATTGTACAGTCCCATATCAGGATGTTATCATCTCGACTTTAGAAATGAGGCAACTGAGACTTGGAGAGGTTAACTAATTTGCCAGTGCCACACAGCTAATAATTGGGAATCTGACTTGGCTCATTCCAATACCATAAACTTTGTCACTACATTGGACTTCCCTGCCAAGATAACTTGAAGTCAAGAAACATTTTCACATTTAACATGTCCTGAGGTCTACACTAACAACTCTATTAGTGGGATCTGAGAAATGTAAGAAAGAAACAACAAAAATAGAAAAAGTGAAATTGCTCAGATTGCAAAGAGGAAGGGTTCCAAAAAAGCAAACTGCCACCCAACACCATACTCATTGGCGTCTCCGTGCTCTTCACTCTGAATTGTCCACATCTCCTTTTCTGCATTCCAAAACCGACCTATTGGCATAAAACTTTAGGCATTTTTGGTATATTATAGCAGAATGGTTTTGTGAAAGCAAAACAAAACAAAAAGGGAAGAGATAGTGAATTGTATGTGAATATTATTTGTATGTTTGGTGCAGCCTGTACTCTGTAGCATCCCGTCTTACTCCATCCAAGCTGCCTGTTCCCCGACCTCCACAACATGTACACACAGCGCTTAGTATCATGAAAACATTTTAACTGAACTTAATCGATAAGTTCACAGACCAATTTAAAAAACAAAAACCAACAAACATCTTTAAGGATGCTTTAAGTGTAAATTGATCTCTATGCATTTTTACTTATAGTTCATTAACAGTATGTATTTATTTAAGTTTGAGACTGTCCTTTAGGAATAATGAATTCTGCTATGCTATCCATCTAAATGTACATACAGCAAGCTGAAAGAAGACTCTTAACAGGCTGTCTTTGCCTTTTGGTAGGCGCAATCACTGGCATCATCACTTTCCACCAGGCAGCTGTTGAGGATTTCTCGTCGCCTGTCACTGTATCCTGATGAAAACCTTCATAATGCTGTCACTAAAGCCTGCCTTTCCAGGTAACCGTTTCTCCCTGTTCTCTGAAGTCAAGTCTCTGGGTCTTGGTTAAGGGAGTCATTTAAGGTTAATTAATAGTCTGGATTCACAGATCAGCAATAATATTGGTTTATGCTTATCTATTTCAGACTTGGGGTTAGTTTTTAGAAACTACTGGTTACAGCAATATTAACAGCTGACATTTATTGAGAATTCATTATAAGTCCTGAACATTGCACTGATATCCTTACACATATTATCTTATGTAGGTGTAATGATTACTAGAGATATTTTATAGTTGAGAAAGCAGGTGAAGTAACATGCTCAAGTCACATTGTAGTAAATAGTTGGGTTGGAATTTGAAAGCTGGGTCATTTGATTTCTGAGATGTGCTTATCAGCCCCCAATTTGCAGCAGAAATCTCATTGCTTGATAGCACTGTCCCATTATCCAAAATTTCACTCTATACCAATACTTTTCATGCTTGTTGGTAAGAGATTACAAACCAGTGTTGTTGTTAAGTGCCATCAAGTGAGTTGTAGCTCTCAATGATGCTGTATAGTTTCTGAAGGTGTAAATCTTTCTTCCGTAGAGTGGCTGGTGGACTTGAACCACTGATCTTATAGTTTGCAATCTAGTGCTTATCCTATGGAGCTACCACTAAACAGTAGCTTACAAAATTTTCTGTTCGACTCACATTTGCATAAAACTATTTTAAAAAGATAGTAAAAAAAGATTAAGAACAGACCCTACTAATTCCAAGTATTATAATGAAATGTACAAAGACCTGTAGTTAGAAAACAGTATTTCTCAAGCTTAAAGAACTGAAGAAAAAAACTCAAGCCTCGACTTTGAGTTTCTGTGGATAAAATATTGAATGATGCAGAGAGCATCAAAAGAAGAAGGAAGGAATATATACAGTCACTGTACCAAAAAGAAATAGTTTATGTTCAGCCATTTCAAGAGATAATATGTGATCAAGAGCCAGTGGTACTAAAGGAAGAAGTCCCATGGTGAAGGCATTGGCAAAGAACCAGACTCCGGGGATTGATGGAGCGTAAATTGAAAAATTTTAACAAACTGATGCAGCACTCGAGGTACTCACTGATCTATGCCAAGAAATTAAGAAGGCAGCTACCTGGCCAACTGATTGGTAGAGATACATATTTGTGCCCATTCCAAAGAGAGATGGCCCAATAGAATGCAAAAATCATCAGACAGTATCATTAATATCACATACAAGTAAAATTTTGCTAAAGATAATTTAAAAATGCCTGCAGCAGTACATAGACAGGGTAATGCCAGAGGTTCAGTTAAGATTCAGATGAGGATGTTGAATGAACAATATCATTGCTGATGTCAGATGGATCTTGACTGAAAGCATAGACTAGAAAGATGTTTACCTGTGTTTTATGGCTTATGTAAAGGCTTTCGACTGTGTGCATCATGACAAGCCATGGACACCATTGTGGAGAATGAGTGTTCTGGAGCACTTAATTTGTTTATGAGGAACCTGTACATAGACCAAGAGGCCCAAAACAAGGGAACACTGAATGGTTTAAAATTAGGAATGGTGTGTGCCAGGGTTGTATTCTTTCACCATCCTTATTCAACCTGTATGTTGAGCAAATCATACAAGAAGCTGGATTATATGGTGAAAAACATTGCATCAGGATTGGAGGAAGACTCAGTAACAACCTGAGATATGCAGATGATACAACCTTGCTTGCTGAAAGTGAAGAGAACTTAAAATACTTACTGATGAAGATGGGATTAGTATGGGTTACACCTCAATGTAAAGAAAACAAAAATCCTCACTACTGAACTAATGAATAATATCTATATCCATGGAGAAAAGATTGAAGTTGTCTAAGACTTCATTTTGCTCTGATCAATCAACACTCATGTAAGTAGCAGTCAAGTAATCAAAGATGTGCATTAGGCACATCTGCTGCAGGAAAATATTCAAGTACAAATGTAAGTTGGAGGACTAAGGTGTACCTGACCCAAGCCTTGGTATTTTCAATAGCTTCATAAGCATGAAAATGTTGGATGGTAGTAGTAGAGTTGATGCATTTGCGTTGTAGTGTTGGAAAAGAATATTAAAAGTAGCATGGACTGCTAGAAGAACAAACAAATCTATTGGAAGAAGTACAGTCAGAATGCTCCTTAGAAGCCAGAATGATAAGACTTTGTCTCTCATACTTAGATACATTATTAGGAGGGACCGGTCCCTGGAGAAGGACATTATGCTAGGGAAAGTGGAGGATCAGTTAAAAAAAAAAAGAAGCCCCCCAAATGTGTTGGCACAGTGGCAACAGCAGTGGGCTCAAGCTTTAGAAGCATTGTTAGGCTGGTGCAGAACCCCGGGCAATGTTTTGTTCTGTTGTGCATAGGGTTACTATGAATTGGAACTGACTTGATGGCACCTAAAAACAACAAGAACATTTCTCCCCCAACCACTGTGGCAACCTCTGTATATTTGCCTATTTTATCTAAGTGGAATCATAAAAGATTTGTCCTTTTGTGACTGACATTTCAGTCAATGTAATGTTTTCAAGAATCCTCCATTTTGTATCTCATGTTGTTGTTTTTGTTCTTGTTAAGTGCCTTAGAGTCTTTTTTCATTCAAACAATCCTGTATGGGGTTTCCAAGGAGTGACTGGTGAGTTTGAACTAGGTTCAAATCAACCTTTTGGCCCAGTTGTTATCCTACAGAGCCACACCAGGACTCTGTAGCCTATATTAGGGCTTTATCCATATGGCTGAGAGTGTTCTATCATATGTATATACTACATTTTGTTTATTTATCTGTTGATGGACATTTAGGTTGTTTACATCCTTTGACTATTGTGAATAGTGCTGCAATTAACATTGATGTACAACTTTAAATAATTAGTTTTATGGTGGTTGTGCTTTTTTAAATTCATTCTTTGATATGAAATAGAGCTTGAACATTACTCTCTTCAGTTTAAGATGCTTTGTAATTGCCCTCTTTCTCTTTAACTTTTAGTTTAACCACAGTTTTTGTAGGTACATCAAGTTCCTTAAGTTACAACTTGAATGAGTTCTGCCTATAGTATATTCCTTTAAATTAAACTTCTTTCCAGTGTCTTTTCAGTGTTTTAAAAAATAATTTATTTTATGCTTTATTGTTGTTGCAAATATACATAGCAGATCAAATCTTTCTACACGTACAATTCAGTGATATTGATTATATTCTTCAAGTTGTATAACTGTTTTCCCCTTCCTTTTCTGAACTCTTCCTACCCATTAACATAAACTCATTATCCCCTACATTTTCTGCTTTTTCGAGTTGCTGGGGTCAGTTTGATCCCTATGGACAGGTCTTAAAAGAACACATTGCTCAAAGCAGACATTCTTTACTAGTTAAGCTAAACTATTGTTTGGTTTTAAGAAGACTCCAAGGGATACTTCTGGTTTAAGGTTTAAAGTATTTTAGGGCGAAAGGCTGTGTGCTTGCAGGCAGGAGGCTGGCTTGCAAAACGTGCCCTTTGAACATTTAAATGAATATATGTTTTTTGTTTTGTTTGTGTACATCAAATATTTTTGCTTTGCTGATTTATGAAAAATATGTCAATGGGAAGCCACAGGGAGGAAGCAAGGTAACTGTTATTGCAGCGAGGGGAATGTCATCATTGAGATGACTGTTGAAAGTAAAGCTGATGATCTTGTCTGTTAACCTTCATTCAAATACTGAAAAAAACACACAAAATATTATTTGAAAAAATAAGAATTAGAAAGAGATTATAATTTCAAGGCATTAATTTCAGGATTGATCTAGCCTCGTTGGCTCCAGAAAATCTGGATTCCATGAGAATTTGAATTCTGTGATGCATTTTCTTCCTTTTGATCAGAATTCTTCTATGGAACCTTTAATGAAGACATTCAGTAGAGGGAGCCAGACAGAATCCAGTTCTTCTGGTCTCTGGCCAAGGAGGTGGTTTTTCATGAAGGCAGTTAGCTATACATACACTCCATTTCTTCCTCCCAATCCTGACTCTTCTCTAGTGTCTTAGGATATTTCTTTGAGTATTTAATAGCTATGAGGGATAATCAAATAGATTCTCTGATTTTTCAAATTAGGAGAATATTAGACTTCCGTGAAAACCAGAATAAAAGAAGTTTAATTGCTTGGTTTTCAGTCCTGAATAAAGTATAGATAAACAGATGACTTTATTACCTACTAATTACTTTCTGTTGGTCAGAAGTTAGTTATAGATGTAAGTTCATAGAAATTAATCATGCTAAGCCTAAGGGAAAATTATATGTTGACTATATTAGAATGAAATATTCACACATGAACCATTCTACAGATAGTTGGAAATACCTTCATGGTTGAATCAACTTCAGTTTTCTTTTAAAAAATAAATAAAAATAAATTAATGAGAAACTATCTAAGAAATAAACAAGATTGAGCAAAGGTTGACGATAAAATATAAAGAACCACTAAAGCACAGGGCTCTCAGAGAGTCAGAGAAAAAAAGGAAGACCCCAACAAGATGTATTGACACAGCGGCAGCAGCCAAGGCTGAAGCATAACAGTGAGATTGGCATAGGACCCGCCAGCAAGATGGATTGGCCAACTGGCAGCATCAATAGACTCAAGCATGGCAACAGTAGTGTGGTTGGCCCAGGGTCGGGCAGTGTTTCGTTTTGCTGTGCATAGGGTCGCTATGAATCGGACTGACTTGATGGCACCTGACAACAACAACAAAAGCATCTTAGAGTATGAAAAGTTGATAAAACACAGACAGATTGTTTGTATTACCTAGTTCAGTTAATACAACATACTTAGGAAATGTGAGAACATTTTAAATAAAGGTTAGAATTATGGAATGAGTTTCTATTAGATGGTTTATTGTTATCTTCTATGATTAATGAGAAGGAGCTCTGGTCATATAGTGGTTACGACTCGGGTTGCTAACCTCAGGGTAAGCAGTTCAAAACTACCAGTTGTTCCATGGGAGAAAGATGAGGCTTTCTGCTCCCGTAAAGACTT